CCTCTTATTTAGGGAATTGACTACTATTTATAACTGATTTTGAGCTTAGCCAGATCCAGGGCAAGATCTTTACCTTTCTCTCATAACGGCTGTTTGATTTGTGCAACGGTTGTGAAGTGTGATGGGGCAGTTACGAATCTGGCACCTAGATGAGTGATTTCTGTTACTGAGGGGTACCTGGTGGGTGCCAGTTGTTTTCCACACCACCTCCTTGAGACGCGGATTGAGGGAGCATGAGGTCTAGAGTTAAGATCTTCATGCGATTGGGCTCCTGACATGGATAATCGAGCTCACACTTAGACATTTTTCTAGATATCATCAGATTCCATGAAACATCTTGTGCTGCTCAATATTGGAAAGGGTGGGGCTATTCTCACCCCACAAATCTCTTTTCCCACCCATTAAACTTTAAATCATAAAACTATTAAATTCATCCATTCTATATCCCAGCACACTAGTAACTAAGCCCACCTTATTCTATACCAACTCTACTAATAACTAAACTCATCTTAATTTTTACCTTTAAGGTTTTTTTTTCTATACCCTATATCACACAACTTTTACAAAAATATACTCAACTTGATTATCTAGCATAAATCTCTCAAGTGATATTCAAGTTGATTTTATTTTATTCTATGTTTTTATTTTTAATCAATATCAATGATTTTTTTCATTTAAAGTTTGTATATGACACATAGAGTTAATTATGCATGTATGTATATATATCAAACTTACTATTTTTTTGAAGAAAAATTCACATGAAATAATTAAAATATAAAAAGTATTGAGTGAATACTTCTAAAGCATCAAATAGACCACAGTCCCCAAAAGAGAAAAAAAAACCATAGTTGGTAAAGGCGTGAATTGGTGGCAAAACCCATGTTCGTAAGACAAAATTTTATAACTTACCTTCTATACTGTGGGCATGTTACTATGGGTGTTGTAGTTCATAACTTTAGATTTTTGCGAAACTTCAAAGTCGAGGAGGGTGTGAAGGATAACCCATAGCGATGTCAAAAAAATCACATATCTCTCTCTCTCTCTCTATAAGTATATACATAATTAATCCTATATGTATTATATACAAACCTTAAATTAAAAAATATTAATATTGGTAAAAAAATACATATAATAAAATAAAATAAAATTGAAATCAAAACCAACTTGAATATCATTTGAGAAATTTATACTACATAATCAAGTTGAATATATGTTTGTATAGGTTATATGATAGAGGGTATAGAAAAAAACTCTAAAGGTGAAAATTGAGATGAGTTTAGTCCTTAGTGGAGTGGGTATAGAATGACTAGTGGTGTGAGCATAGAAGGGATGAGTCTAGTAATTTTATGATTTAGAGTTTAATAGGGTGAGAAAGGAGATTTGTGGGGTGAAAATAACCCCACCCTATTGAAAAATCTTGCATTTCTATGTCATTTGTTCACCCTATGGTCTAGTATTCAGCGTTCTCATTCGTGAAAAAATATTCATTGCATACCAAATGACAATGCTGTGGTATTACCATCAATAATATCAAAACAATAGGCAAATGAGTCCTACTAAAATTACTAACTAACCTTCCATGTAAACAAATTACTATCTACTCTTCCTCCATGAAAGTAAATAATTACCCAAGTGGGGTTCACCTTATCAACTTGGTGTTTTATTGTTGGTTAATACCAATGGGCTTCTAGTCCAATAGTATTTCTTACTTTGTGAAGGTTTTGCCTTCTTAAAGTCAATGGTTCAAGTCTCCCTCGTCCCTCCCCTAAAAAAAATAAAAAATATATATATTATTGGTTAGTGATACTATGTCAGCATTGATGACATGGTATTACTGATGCATTCAATATTTAGTCTTTGTTTGGTTACCCTATTGTAAAAGAATGGATTGTACTAGGTAAGCAAATAAAATATAAGATTAAATATGAGACAAAAACACTACGCATTGTAATCCAATGTTTGACAAGATACTAGATTAAGAGTGGGATAATAGAGTGTTAATTACATATTGACAAAAAAATCAGAAATCCTATCTAGTTATTAATGTTTTTATTTATTTAGTAGGTAAAATAGTAAATTTATAACTGAATACGCTTAAACGGGACTTACCATATTAAGAAAAGAGGGACTGTATTAAGGACCATAGAACAATCCAAGATAGATAGATAAAATCAAAGATTAAATAGGGTATAAAGATAATACCAATTCTAGTCAATCGTTTGTTAAATACAGTATTAAGAGTCAGATAATAAGCATCAAATCCAATTTAATATTTGGTTAAGTAATTTATTCAATGGTATTAAATGAGTAGACTAAAATATCCTCAATCATCTCCAATTTGATCACTTATAGTGATTCAATATTTTGTATTACTTATTATGAATATTTTTAAATAATTAAACAACCATGTTTTAATTGTGGAAAAGTGTGTTTTGGATATATGTAATTGTTTATTATTAATGTCGTTGTTTACCATTATCCATGTGAACGACAAATAAGATGCATCCTTTACAGGTTGTCCATATGAAGGGGGACATCGGGTCATTGTAAAAAAGCTAAGGGTCAGTTTGTTACAGGGGTGGCTCAAAGTAATTTGAGGCCTAAAGCGGTAATACTAAATGAGGTTTTTTATTTTGATATTATTTTTAAAAAATAAAAAATATTTTTAATTTTTTTTAAGTGAGAGAGGAGGACGTGATACTTTGTTTTTGTTTTTTTAGCGAGAAAGAGAATAGATGTGAGTAAATATGAGTTGAATTTTAAATTTTTTTGTATTTGTTTTTAAAATTTTTGATTTTTGAATTTATAATGTTATGATTGAATTGTAGGCCTAAATTATTGAAATTATAATTTTTTAATTTGGCTTAAATTTTTTTGAGGCTTTTTTGTAAGGGCTAAAATTTTCATGGATTTAAATTTTTTATGTGGACTAATTATGTATTTAAAATTATGAGGTCTTTTAAAAATTTGTGGCCTAAAGTCCATGCTTTTTTTTTTTTTTTCATGCAGTTGGTTCGGCTTTGGTTTGTTATGAAGTCAGGATGTCTAAGTAATTTTTATTAAAATAATGAATAAGGAATAATAACATGATTTTTTTTAGATTAAGGGTAAAATTGTTTAATAGTGATATAATACACTTAGGTTGTGTTATAATACCACCTCTCTTGGCGGTATTAAAATAACTCAATAGTACGGATAGATTGTATTAGAATTATTCACATGTGATACTTATCTAGTTAATCTCATATATAATGCAAAGTGATTTTTTGCATTCAAATGTAATATAAACCTATATTACAGCGTTTTAATTCAATATGACTCTTTAATATACCCAATAATACAACAACCAAATAACCCCATAAAGTATATTATTTCATAACTCTGTAAACTATCCTTTAATACTACAACCAAAGGACCCTTTGGCTTCAATGATTTTAAGTAGTAACTAATTTTGTAAGCTAATCCCTATCACATGAAATGGAGTTTACTTCAGTCATTTGTTTAGTATATTTTTAGATAGTGATGCCACGTAATATACTATCACGGTTACAATATTCACTTGAAAATTTCACCAATTTACTATAAATCTACAATATTAAGAACTAAATCATCAAAACTTAAGTATCAATCTGGGAATCTTTGTATATCGTAATGACTTCGATTGTATTCAATCCTTCAAGCTAGTATGTGGGATGGGTTATGTCATCACTGGGATTAAAAGCCTGAAAGGAACCTCCACACTAGAAAGACTTTTTACCATCATTTCTCACAGCACTAAAAATCGTTGCAAAGTTGCCCATATCCAATTTCAATGCCAGTTGGGACAAAAATGTTTCCAATTATTTGCATTTCAGTCAATTATGCAGGGAAATTCTAAAATCATGGTAAACAATAGATTTTTGGATGGTAAAAGAGGGCACTAGTAAATATTACCATATCAGTATTGTCATGTAGTGTAACCGTCTAATTTTAATTCACCAACTAAGAAAAGTGGACCCTACTATTATAATAATACTCCTCCATGTATGATAGTAATCATTCCATATAAAATAAATTGAATCACCTTGTCCACTTATTTATTTAACAATGGATGGTTATATCCAATATTTTCTCCTTAACACATTTCCTTGAATTTTGATAGTATGATACATTGATGCTCCTGTTTCAAAAAGAGTAAGTACTAGATTAATTTTGATAGAATTATATGATCATTCTCATCCCCGGCTACGGTACCCTAGTCGGTCATGTAACTCTATTAATTTGGGGTGCAAGTCTTCTGCGGTTAACTAAGAACAGCACACTGGGAGGTTAAGTAAAACAACACAGTTTTGCAAGAAAAAACTTAGCAGCCAAATAAATCAATCTCGTCTTAACCGTTCAAGTGATAGCGGTTGAATTTATTGAACCAATTATATAAATAGATCGATATGAACCTAAATAAACACAATAAAAATATATTAAAAATAATTTATATCCAACATAAGTTTAACATGACATGACACAACATGAACCCAACTATATCTTTTTTTTTTTTTCTCAAGAAACAAAGATACATGAAACTACACAAAAAAACAACAAAAAACAATCAAAAATAAACTAGGAAAAAACCAGTTTTCAACCGATACCTTATCTTGCTTCCTTTGGTAGTAGTCTCCTTAGCTGCTGTGGAGGGTTAACCACCCACTGAGGTGATAAGTTGCTCCTTCTAGCCTTAGTTGCAACCAGATGAGCTAACTGATTAGCTTTTCGGTTCACAACTTGAAACTTGATTGAAGGAATTTTACTGGAATAACACCAAATATCCCTTTGAATTGGCTGAATGAACATGTTTGGTGGCAAAAAATTATTATTGCCATTGAAAATATGATATTAAAATTATTTAGTTGCCATAATTATTTATCACCAATAAAAATATATTATTAGTGGTGAAAAAGTATTCTGCTCTGATTGCATTGCACTTTTCTGGACTGATCTGGAATATTCAGTTTCTTGGTGTGCAGTCTGAGTATTCTGCTGAATGTTGTTGCTGCTGGAACTGTGTGTTGAAATGCTGTTGTAGCAGGAGCTGCCCTGGGAAGGCAGGAGATGAGGGATTAATGATGTAGCTGATGCTGTGAGCTGAGCTGAGAAAAGACAGTCCTTGGTTGCTTCATGCCAGGTGCTGCTTTTGCATTGATTGCTGGGCAGCTGTTGCTAAGCTGCTAATGCAGAGTTGCTGGACTGCTGCTGTCTTTATTTCTGTTGAGTTGCTGAGTTGATGTAGCTGTTTGCTGATGCCTGCTGCTGAAGAGCTGCTGGCTGAAGTTGCAATGGTTTGATGGTAGGATCAACATACAGTTATTGTACAGAATTTTGAGGATAGTCTTTCTGTTTGTTGTATACAGTTTACTGCTTTTGTTGTTAAAACAGTTACTGTTTTCCTTCATTTTTTTTTTAATTCTTTTTTCATAGAATAAAATTTTCTCTTTTTGCCAAAAAAAAAAAAAAAAAGATTTTAGGCTTTTCATTGTTTCAAATTTTAGTGGTGATTTTAGGTTTTTCATGTTTTAAATTTTAGTGGTGATTTTAATTGTGGGTAAAATGTAGATTTTTAGCCGCAATTAATTGTTGTCAGTAAAGTCAGGTTTTAATCAGACTTTTAGTGGTGATATAATATATTTTAGTGGCAAAATTTAGTTTACTTGCTACAATAATTATGGCGGCTAAAAATTTCACATTTAGTGACATTTTTTATAGTGCGGCAAAAAAATTTACCTTTAATGGCAATAATTAAATGTCATAGCTAAATTTTTTAGCCACACATATATTGCCGCGGCCTAGTGACAATAAAAATATTGTCACTAAAATATTTAGTGATAATTTTTATGCATTTAGCCACAATAATTTCTCTCGACCAATTTCTTGTAGTGTAGCTAACCGCAGAGGAGCTGCGGCCCTATTTGAGCAAAGCTTTAACATTTGATTTATAAATAATGATGGTGGTGGTGCAGTGGCGGTACTCCGAACTTTGAAGGATCAGTGGCAGAACACACCACCAAGCCGGGGAAAGACAGATGATGCTTGTGGAACACCCTGGGAAGGAGTCACCTGCGAAAACTCAACGGTCACTGGACTGTGAGTGTTTGATTATTTGCCGCTACCACCGTCGGTAGTGTTATATCCCATATTTTTGACTTGAAAGCCTCCTGTTTTAGTGGGAAACTCAACTTGTAAGTTTTGAAATTTTTTTTTTCCAGGGTGTTATCAACAATGGGACTCGTCAGTGAGCTAACCGGTGACATTGGAGGTCTCACTGAATTGAAATCCTTGTGAGTTTCTCTTGCTCGTTGTTTGAGTCGAATGTAAACACTTGACACTAACGTTTTCAAATTTCGGATAAATATTTCCAGATTACTAATGTGTGTGAATAACTCGTAAGAGCATCTCCAATCTAACTCTCTAAAATAGCTAGCTAAAATATATTAAAATATTATATTTTCTATTTTAATTAGTTACTTTTACGAATTCACTTCAACCACACTCTTTATTTTAACTAGTTATATTACGCAACTTTCATTAATTTCTAATAATTTAAAGGGAATACAACATAGATATAGAGAGAGAAAGAAGTAGAGAGAGAATTTATAAGGCTAAATAGCTCTCCACATTTGGAGAGTCATTTAAGTGAAATGAAAAATAGAGAGTGAAATAGAGAGTGAATTGGACATTATTTTTTATGTTTGATTAGCTAAAATAGTTAAAGAGAGATATTGGAAAATGGGTTGAAGATGCTCTAAGCTAAAGGTCGGTATCGACCGATCCCACCTAGTTGAGGTCGTTGACTGGTTGACACGTCAGCCATAATCGGTCTATTTAAAAATTATCACTTATTTAAAATGTGGCCCTTTTAAGTTTATTTGGATTTTGTTGGGCCAGCTACTCATGTGTATTAGCATTAAACAAAAGTGAAAATTGAGGGTGAGATCCCTTAGATGGACTTATAATGATTTGAATCATTGAAAAAATTTATTTGGTGATAAGTTTATATTTAAACTTATATGTAGGTACTTAAGTCCACTTATTTTTTAAATCTTAAAATTACTCCTAACGATGTTAGTTTTGTCAAGTTATGGACAGTCACATATGTTAGATTATTGAAGTATATATGAAAACCCTTGATTGAGTTATATATGAAAACCGTTTATTAAATATTATGATAATTAACGGAAGTTTTTATATGGAAGTTATGTATTTTGATAGTTATATATGAGAAACTTAATGTACGAATAAATTGTTAGTCTATTAAGTCAAAATCAGATAACAAAATTTCCTTAACAACAGTAATGCATAATATAGGGAGGCTGAACAATACCAATAGAGGTCAATAACACGAATGTTAATATGTAGTAACATTCAATAGAGGTCAATAACACGAATGTTAATATATAGTAACATTCGTGTTACTATATAATTGAAGTTATAATTAGAGTTGTGTTACTAGTGCAGTCGTGTTACTATACTGATACTAATGTTACTATAATAAATTTTAATATACAATTGCAAATCTTGAGACGTATATTATGTAACATATACTTTAATATTCACAATAACATCAAAACATTGTGCTCAGTAACACATATAATTTTACAAAATACAACACAATAGTTTTTTTACAGTAACATTAATTTTTGAATGATTTTAGTAAAAATAAGATTCACAAATTGAAAATTCACAAAATGACAAGAAGTGACACACAATCGACAATTGAATTACGACACTCAATACCAATTGTGAACATCAAGATATCGAAACTCTGAACTCCATTTTTCGATTCACATACAATAACATGAACTTTTTCCATAGTAACACAACTAAAAAATATTCAATTATCTTGCGCAATAAAAAAATCAACAAAATCGAAATATATAACACTTTAATTTAGTACTAATGTATGTGTTCTACTGAATCTTGATTACAAGATTAATGACCACTTTGACAGAATTAAATCCCTAATTGTTATTACTTTTTTACAATGTTAATATTTTTTGTAAGTATGTTACTATTTTTTTAATGACCATGTTAATATATTTGTTGAATATGTTACTATTGTATTTTTTAAATATTAATATTTTGTCGATGGAGTCCAAAGTAAACTAGAATAGTAAATTGAAATTGTATTTTATGAAATGTAATGAGTTTGAAATTTGAATATGACCGATTTTTTGGTAAATGTAAGTTTCTTGTTTTTTAAAATAAGGAAACATTGTGACTTAAAATATTGTAGCTGGAATTGAAGGCAATTATGAAGGAGATATATATATACATCGTTTATAATAGTCCTACAAGGAAGAGTTACAATAGTAAAATTGATAAAAAATAGATTTAAAACTAAATAAATTTTTTTGACGGACATTTTTACAAATAAGTCCATATAGCAGGATCTGCCTCCAAATTTTTTTAAACAAAAAGTCGAGCCGGCTAGTTGGCCAAAAATCATGTCCCTAACTACCTGTTGGCGAGTAATGTTATTGACACTTAATAATTTAATCTAATTTTTTGATTTAATGACGTGTCAATTGATAGATTAATAATGAAAAAGTTTAACTCTATAATAATTTTATTGAACAATGTCATTTCCACTTCATTAAATTAGAAGATTAGACCAAATATTTATATTTAAATAGCATTACTCCATGTTGGCCTGCAAAAACCACGTCCCTGGCCCTAGTAGCCAGTTGGCCTAACAAGTCAACCACAGCTGTAGGGTTTTTCTTGGACACTTGCATGGGCGTTGGTATAATAAATCTAGGATGTGGCCCACGCCATTGGAGCACGAAGTTTAAAGTTTGGAATAGTTTGTAAGTTAATTAAGCCAATTTTGTGGAGTTTGATGCTCCGTTTGGTATAATAAAAAAAATAAAAGAATAAAAAATTGAAAATATAAATAAAATATTATGTTTGGTAATGAAGAAAAATAGGAAGGATAGATTAGTGGATGAATGAGTTTTCTTTCCAATTCACCAAAATTAATCCCTCCAAAATTGGATGGAAAATAATATAGAAAGTTAATTATTTATGTTGAAATGTATATTATTTATCTATATATCTTTTGATATATACATATATTATGTATACATTAATTTCATATATAAATACAATGATAAAATATGTATATATATACATATATATATTTTTTACATTTAAAAATAAAAATTAAAAATTAAAAAAATTCCATCTTACTAATTACAAAAAAAAATTTTTTATTTCTCATCCATTCTATCAAACACAAAAGAAGAAAAATGTATCATTCCTACTTTTCTTCTTTAGAGAATATAAAGTATATCTCTCCTACTTTCTATTTCTCCTATTTTCTATCATTCCTATCAAACAGAGCATAAGTGTCCTCAAGTTCGACTCAGTTGCGAATAGCAGAGCTCAACTATCAAGCTTAAATTCTTGTTTACACAGCTAGGTACAAGCTTATTAGCTTACAAGTCGATCTTGAGCCAAAAAAATCTCAATTTTTTAATAATGTTTTTTAGAAATATAAGAGGAAAGCAGGAAAGAAGTGTACATGATCAGCAATTTAGAGATATGTTTAGGGTTTGGAGTTGTATAGGTGTTTAGTAATTGATAATACCTGGGAAAAATCTCAAGTTTAAGCTCAGACATTGAGGTCAGGAGGGGAGCTCAGTCAGGAAAGCCCGAGCTCAAAGGTTTAAACTTAGGGCTCCCTTAACCTATATCCCGAAGAAAATAGGTGGAAGGCAGCTGGCAACTAGGAAGCACCCCCTCAACGGTAATAAGCGCCAGTCTAGTCGCAAGATCTTCAACTGCCCAATCCATCTCCTGAAATCAAGAGGGATATAACGAAAGGAAGACGAAGATCTTACTATAGACCCCATAGAAATAGAAACTAGGCTATAAATACTAGGCAAAACTCTCACTTAGAGAGAGGGAGAGAGAGAAAACCAAGCAACTCAAGTTCTATCAAGAACACTGTGTAATCCTCTTATAGTCATCAATAAAGTTCACAAGAGCAAGAGACTCCATAAAAGAGTGAATTAACCGAGCTCCTAAACTGGTGAACTACTATAATTCTTCTATGTGGTCCATCCTGCATTCCCGATTTACCACATTATTCCCAAGAGCCTCGTAGCTCAGATCAAACCTAATAACACATGAAATCTGTTCAATCACATTTTGCAAACCATCAGTTTGGTGTCGTTTGTGGGAACGATTGTGCCTATAAAAAATACACTAATATCTTTCAATAATTGATGGTCACTACACGCAACATGAGCAGAAGCCAGATGAATCCCCAACAGATGGAAAACCAGAAGGCAACAAGAAAACCTTCAAGACTTTTTTTCCCACCACAGATACCAATCCTCCCATAGTGGATTCCCCTCCGAATAACGAACTGGAGGCTCTCCGCCTAGTCAATTAGTGTCTATTACAATAGCATGAGGAACTCTTGAAGCTCTTATAATGTCCTCAGAAGGCGCGACCAACCCAGGATAATCCCAATGATCCCCCATAAGGGGACCATCAATGTCTCGATTCCATAAAGGAGACTAGTGAGGAGGTGAAAATAGCTAAGCCATGGGTTATGCTCCATCCATTCCCTATGAATGGTGACAACGAAGAAGTGCAAAGCCAAAATGTGGGAACTGAGAAAAATAAGTTTCAACCTTTCCTGTAGGAAGAAAGAGAGAGTAGTATTGAGAACAGCGCTTCAAAGATATTCAGCAGGAGCTCAGCCACGTGAAGGAAGCTTTGAAAGGCAAGACCCCAGTAACTATAGATGCCTTGGTCCAGTAGATTGAGTCCCCTTTTACCGCAAATGTGCTACACTTTTTCTTCCCTCCGAAGTTTAGAATGCCCCAGATGGAGGCCTTTGATGGGACGAAAGATCTCATGGATCATCACAACACCTATAAGAACCAAATGGAGTTGTATGGATATCAAGATCCTTTGCGATGCCACGCCTCAACCTTAGCATGGTTCAACAGGCTAGCCCCGACGTATATCTCCTCCTTTAGGGAGCTCTCCGTATCCTTTGTGTCACACTTTAAAGGAGTTCGGGCCTATTAAAAACAGAGCTATCACCTATTGAATGTGAAACAAGGGCCCTATGAGAACCTATGATCTTATCTCCAGAGGTTCAACTTGGAATCGCTGAAAGTTGATGTTCTAGATGAAAAATTCGCCATCACTATTTTCATCGCCGGGTTAAGAGTGCAATCGAAGGACTTGATATTCTTCATATCAAAAAACCCATAAGCAAGCATGGAAAAAGTTTTAGCCAAGGAAAAAAAGTATATTAATGG